GTCTGCCTCACGGACTAAAACTGGTAGTTGGTTCCACAGGAGAGGAGCCTGAGAACTAAAAGATCTGCCTCCCATTCTACTTTTAGAAGTTCTAGGGAGAGAGTGGAAGCATCAACTTGATCACAGTTTGATCCAATGTCCTGACTTCAGCATTTGCGCTTTTTTGACGCCCCTAATGCCTACAGTGTGAACCCAGCATTAGCCTGATTCCCACCCACCTTTTTCCGTGAAGCTTCCCGGGATTTAAATGGAACAGGACAACATCATGGCGCCAGGCCAAAGGCCCAGATCCCCAGAATGACCAAGGCTGTCATGATGGTTGACTCTTCAGAACCAACTTGCTGCAAAACACACCATTTGCAAAATGTTTCTCTGAGTTTTGAAGTTTCAGACCTGGATTGGAGGGAAAAGCCTCCTAAAGAAGCTTTTCCCACATGAGACAAAAGAACCCCCCCTTTTTGAGAGGCTGCAGTGCTGCTAACTGATGGAAGAAACTCAAACCTTCCAGAACAGACATAGAGGTTTGAGGTCTGACACAGTTAGGGACAGATTCTAAAAACAATAATTAATAATTTCATGTGTTTTCTGATGAGTAAAGACGAAGCTAACAGGATGGATCACATGCTATGCTACAGTAATATGTGTTGAGCTGTTGTTTATAAAGCTAAATCCAGCTTTATTTCACTAATAAACACTGATATAATATTAGTGTTGATGTGTTTTCTCATGACCTCATTATATTTCCATGACCAAATTATGACCAAAACTAATTTAATGGAATCCTCATGTCTATTAGCTGCTAGCGATTTCAAAGAGGGTTAAATATTTTTTAACTAAAGGTTATTAGTTCCTGATTAAACTAATAATTTAATAAAACATTATTTGGTCAAATAATGTTTTATTCACCTCATGGATTATCAGTGAATTGGTTTGAAAACTTTCCAGTCGCTCTAAAGGAGAGAAAAGCTAATTTAATCAGATCATAAATTTTTCCAGATAAACTCTTTGATGTTTACTGATTCTTTCATGTTTCGTGTTTAATCCAGCATAATAATACTGGGATTATCAGGCTCAATAAATAAAGCAGCCCTTCTGTTGTATTTGTGGTAATGTGATTATTTTCAAGCAGCACCGACCGAATGTCTAAAAAGTTAACCAGTCGAATAAACAGAGACAAATATTTTCCTTGCGGTTAATTATTCATAATTCTGCTTGAATTATAAA